TCTCTCCACCCATCTTTTTCTTTCCTGAAATAAAATATGTCTTTGAATATATATTCCTTATCTTATATATCATCTATTAAATCTGTGCAGCAAATGTATTCTTAATCATTCTGCAGTCTGAGTTCTGTGTATTTTCTTGTAAACTGGAAGATTTCAGAGATTACAGCAGAAATATTGATCTGTTTAGTGTTTAAAAATCTATTGATTATGTGGTGGTGCGAGCTTATATAAGCATAAATTGACCTTGCAGTGTGTTTTATTTTTGTTTCAGCTGGGGTCCATTGCAGTACACAGATGTGATAAGCAATACTCTTATATGGGTTAGAGTGTAGCTCACAATGAAACTAATCTCTTCAAGAAGTGGTGTTCTATAATCTGCAGGAATGTTTAACACAGTTTTGAGAAAAGATATTAAAGTAGGAAAAGGGCAATAGAGGTCAAGTGGAATAAAAAGGAAGAGGGCAAATAATAGGACTAGGAAAATGGTTGACCTTTTAACCCTTCTTTTTAAGAGACTATGTTCTTTTTTTAAAGTAGTAATGTTCCTTTAAAAAAAGAAAAAATTAAAATATTTTGGATGGAGGCAACATTCTGCCAGCTAGACTGAAGTGTAACATGAGAAATTTTAAAACTGTGTTTTACACCAAAGAATATTCTTCTCCCTACATTATGAGATGCAAAGAAGGTTTATCTGGAATGATCTTTCCATGAGGAGAGGGCCCATTACCCACAGCTCAGTATTCCAGTGTGATACTACTCCCGAAGTGCTGTTGCATTGCTTTGACAGGCTTCAAGATCAGTCAGATAGCCCAGAAATACAATCTTCAGAGGCTTCTCTGAAACACAGCATCTGCTCAGCCTTCCTCCCCTCATTTTGAGGCCTGTTTTAACTATTTTGTAGCTTTATGCAAAAACTGGAGTTGCAACTATTTTGAAAACCTGCAGATTATTTGATACCATCAGTGTGTAGCCCAAATGAGAGTAAATTAAGCTTAAAAGTCTGTAAAGCAGAGAGATGTGGAGGTGTAAAAAACAATTACAGCTTGAACTTAATTGGGCTCTGTAATTTATTGCAGTAATGAAATATTTCTTTAAAGTGGAAAACCTTTTAAAGAATACTAATATAATAATTAATATTCAGGTTACCTAGGGAACTTGAGACTCTGCTGACTGTAGCTAGAGATCCTTTGCAGGGGAAGCCACCCAGCACATTTTTTTTCCCTAGAGCTTTAAGGATAAGCCTTCCAGGCAGCTGTGAGATTACTTCTCCCACTTTTCCAAGTTGGTACCAAGTTTCTCTCTTACAGAAAAGAAATCCAAGGACTTGTTCTCTCAAAAACAAGTTAGAGCTGATGTAAATCTGAAAAGGGAGGAAAAATTCAGGTGGGCTTAGAAACAAAAGCATAATGTGGAGATGCTAGATGATTGAAGAGTCATAAAGAACAAAAGAAATTTTACAAAGGTCAAGAGATTTTCAAGAGAATTTTATGAAGGAAAACGTCTAAATAAAAAATTAGTTTTCTATATGTCCCTAGCAGTAAACGTTGGAGAAGACTCCCAAAATCACTGTTAGCAGAATGCTACTTACACCACTCTTTTAACAGTGACTGACAAATACTACTGTGAGGCACAGTAAATTTTAACTAGGTTTCAAGAGCAATGAACCAAGTGCTTGCACTTGCTCCTCTGAGGGCAGCCTATATCTGGCAATGCTAATGTCACCATTATAGACGCTAAAAGAAATGAAATGCCAGGAATTTGTTCCCTGACAGAGTCTGGACAAAAACCAACCACAGAAGAGCGACTGTGGATATGGGAGGTATTAAAGAGATCATGGCTTGTACTTGCTTCCTGGTTCTTCTTGATTTTGAGAAATGAATGTGTAAACATCACGTACTGTCAAGAACCAGTGAGCACTGCCAGATAGCAACCTAGCCAAGAGCATGTGAGCCTGCACAGCAGAGCAACTTTAGAGGGACACATTTGGAAAAGGGCAGCCCACTGACAACAAATGGACACATTTTGCACAGCTGCATGACAAAGCTGAGCCAGGTAGTAGAGGGTCAGCCTAGAGTCCTGCACTCTGCTCTCCTACAGTGAGTTGGCAAAACCACTGTAGTTTGTTCCAGACATGGCTGTCAGCTGCAAGCCTTTTGCCAAATAAAAAGACAAGTATTTCTTTCCTGAACTGCACTTCTAATTTATATTCCTTTATTTGGCCTGCATCTGCTGGGAGAGCAGCTTACAATGAGAATGGATGTGTACTCCTTGGCACACAGTGCTGATTTCTAGGAACATAGGAGTTACTGGCTTAGATTCCCTCACTCCACTAGCAGCATGAAGGAAGCCAACAGCAAAAGCTGCAAAGGAAAGTGCAGGAAAGCTGCTCTGAAAAATTAACTACCCAGGAGAAGCTGCTCTTGAACCTTATTAATTAGAGGTTAGTTTATGCCCTGAAGCATAAGACATTAACTCTCTTATAAATATGCATGCCTATTCTTCAGAACTTCAGGATAATAGAGAGATGTCATAAAATTGACACCACGCCTGAGAAGCATCTTAGCGTTCGCTCCATTTAACAGATGCACAAACAGGAAAAGAAGTCAAGCAGCTTCTCTGCAGTCTTGTCAGCAGGCAGACTTCTGGTGGCACTGGCAGGTGAATAATGTGACACAGGCAGCTTCAAGTTTCTCCTGCTGAAGGCGGCTGGCTGTAGTACCCAATTTCTGCTACACAACCCCTCAGAGATTAATTTCCTCTTCTGCAAATGGGTGTGTTTATCTACCTACTTAATGAGATTTTCAGACTGTATAATATTTGTATTACACAGCTATTACTGACACCGGGCTAAGTCAGAAAAAAGGAGAGCTATACTGCCCAAGGATTATTAATTCATTTATCTCACTACAACTCCAGAAACTTTTTCTCCCCCATAGCTCCATTAATGAATCATTTCTCAGCTAAAGTGCCCTTCCAAAGCCAGTTTCAGGCTTAAGTCTGATAAAGAAGTCTGGGAGTGCTTTAAGCATGGAGATTTAGCCAGAAAATTTTTATATAAAAATTGGTTTTCCTTTTTAAATCTTTTTTTTTTAGAGACTCGATTGACCAACTGTTAAGAGCCTTGAAAATCTCCAGTATGGTCATAGATTAAGGACAACTGTAAATTTTTAATATCTTATTTCCAAAAAACAAGAGAGGACTGAGAATGAAAAAAGAAAGACAAGATTTATGCAAAAGCACCCATCTTTTGTAAAATAATCATTCACAATGCCCTACACCAAAGCACCAGTCATTTAGCCATATCAATGAAAATCTCAGATGACATCAAATCAGAACAAGTTTCAGGAACAGAATGCATAGTACTGTCATCAGAATTGCAGCATGGGTTATGTACATATGAACTAGCTAATACTCCAGATGCTAAAAACCAAAGAAATTAGAACAGCATAGCCCTTGAATACTGTTTCAGCAAGTTTGTCAAGCCTCTACTGAACCATGGATTTTAAATGATACTTTTCTGCTTGGTATTTGAGCTAAATTAAAGCTAGTAAGATTACTTCAGTGTACATACTGTCCGCACTTTTTTGGTGGCTTAGTGTGTCCCACAGTCTTGTCTTTTGAATTTTTCCAGTTTTATCATTCGTTGCATAACCCACCTTGACTACTTATGACCCACACTCCTTGCTGGAAACCAAAGACAGCATGAGGAATGGTAAGCCTCCTGTACTTAAAGTCCAGTCTTATATGGATGGATCCAGTTTTGGATGTTTGATTCCCATAGGCCTAGAAGAGGTAGAAGCTGGCCTGGTCGAGGGGAGATTGTAAAAGCAATAAATGAAGATGTCAGGCTGGACCAAGGAGTGGCTACTGTGGCACTGACTCAAACACCCAGTACAGCAGAAACAGTAGAAAATAGCTGGTACATGGTGGCTGGTCCCTTTGGAAGGAAGAGAAGTTAAAAAAGAAAAATAGATTGGAAAACAAAAAGCCCAAATGTAGCAGGGTGAGGAGTGGATGAGAGCAGCTTCATCTCCTGTCAGCTCTGTGCAAGACACTTGCCTGTTCTGAAATGGAATGGGCTACTTTAGAGCTCCTTATCATGCTCAATAGCTCTGTGCACAGCTAAGGCCTGCCTGAGTCAATGCAGTTTCTTTATGTGTATTTCTACCTCAGGTTTGGGAAACAGCATTAGTCAGTTGTGATACATAGCAAACACAGCAATTTATGTTGCACAAAATCTTTACCCTGTCCCCACCACCCCAAAACTACTTCTTCCAAAGGAATCATACTGAGCATCTGGATATTAAGCTCTCAATGCTAGTTAACTCCAAAGAGTTGGAAGATAGGTCAGTTTATTTATTTTTAACTATCATGACAGAATCTTTAATTCTGATCCATGTAAAAATGTAATTCAAGTGGGCTTTGTTCCCCTGGAGAAAATAGTGAAGCTGTTCTTTAAAACCAGCATGATTTCCAAATGAGAGTGTAGGCTTTTCAGAGCTCACCATCCCTACTGAGCACGTCCTTCTGTGCCATCCCAATCAAGGACAGATGGAATCAAGTGCCGTCATGCTCAGGGGCATGAAGTGCCTTGGGCACTTCTGTAATAGAGGCAATAGTCTTGGGGTAAGGAACACACTGCTTCATTACAGACTTTTACCAGAGTGCCAGTTCAGATGGACAAAGTAACATTGCCAATACTTTTTTAACACTGTAGGTTTTATGCCAGAAATAGTTTAATTCATTCTACTTGTTAGCTTACTATTCATCATAGTGAAGATAGATGTGATCTAAGTTAGAAATTACTTATGTAGATCTTCTATTCTACTCATTTTGCACAGTTAAATTCCAACAAGCAAGAAGCACCCCAGCATAAAAAAATTCATAGAAATGACAACAAGGTATATAAAAATATCTGTTTAAAAGAGAATATTTAAATTTATGACTTGCTAGAAAAATCTAGGGTAAACAGATTTTCTAAATGAGACAATGAAAATTACCTGAATTTTGTAGATTCTTCTGGTTTCCTTATCCAGGTGCAGTTCTGCAGTTTTGTGACTATGTGAAGATAATAATCTTCTGAGTATCTAAAAAAGGAAACAACATCAAACACTAGAATATATCTGTATGTATATTTAGAAACAGTATCTAAAAACATTCAAATGATGCATTTATTAATAATAATGTGTGTGGTGCATATATAATAAAGTGCTTTTAGAACTCCATGACCTATTTTATTTTTGTAATTTCTAACAGCACTATCCTCATTTAACTAGCATGACCTATTAAACATCTCTTCTTAGTACTGGTGCCCTAATGAATTTCAGAAACTTTCAAAAGTACACTTGTTTCCAACTTACATAACTGACCATAAATACTTTGAAGTTATTAGGAATCATCTCAAGTGCAAAATTCCAAAATAATATAAATAACTCTCTTGTACTTGGTGGCTTTAAACCTTAGAAGTGTTTTGAAAAGTGGTTCTTGCAGGCCAAGATAAAACATAACACTTCTTACGCCTTTTCTTTCATTTACTTTTTAGAGTCCCCAAAGCTCAACTATGTAAAGACAATAGACCAATATTTACAGATGTAAGTTTTCCTTTAAACTGTCTCCAAAATAAAACAATCTGCTATTTGACATGATCCAGAACTTTGGTTACGTTGCTACATATAACCAAAGACCTCTGCTCTAGAAAATTCATTTAAGAGATTTAAATTTGTTCATAACTGAAATATTTTGTAACATGCAAGTCAAAAGAATGAAGACACTTTTTGCTTTCATGTTCAATGTTACCACTGCTCCCATTTGTACCTGAATCATAAGACAGGCTTTTAAGAAACAACAACTGACATACAACAACTGGGGGAATAGGAAGAAAAGATGGTATGGATGCCATGACTAAAATTCTATGGGACTCTAGTCTCCATACAATATATAACTTCTATTATTTAACAAAAATACAGTATTTAACAAAAATACCATCATGAGTTTGTTTGAGCTGTCACTTAAGTGTCTAATTTGAACAGTTTTACAAGAGTTGGGATGGAAAGAAAGATCACTTGTTTTTAAGTGGAGCATGAGAATCAATAAAAAGCAATATAGAAAAACACTGGTGGTTGCAGCAGCAGAGGTCAATTACCTGGAAGCTTCCTTCTATCTGCTCCACATTTGAATAAACAGCTTGTTTGCTTCATGAAAGTACTGCAATTGCTAAAGGTAACTCATTTATCCTACCTTGAGTAAAAGCATGTCCAATTTCCACATGGAAAAATAAATTATAATTTTAAGAGGAATGCTGCATTACGCTGGTCTCTGGCTCAAGTTTGCACCTGTGACAACATGTACAATTTTCATCCTCCATGCTTAGCAAACTCTTAATGGAACTAGAAGATTATGACTAAACTGATTCTACTGAGCCCTTTACAACTCAAGAGAACTCAACTGGCAGAAGCAGGAAAAGAAAAAACCCGGTTCTATTGCAGCTGTAGCTGATCTGACCTGGTCCAGTACATTCTTCCTCCTTCCAGTCCAACTCCCTTGTATCACTATGGGTACCTACCTGACTCCACCTATTTTATTTTGCCTGTTTTTGCACTTGTTAAATGCCTTCATAGGCCACTTTTACTACCAGGGCAAAAAAATAAAGGAGGGGAAAAAAAAAAAAAAAGAAAAAAAGAAGGAAAAGGATATGCATACACATTTCCTTCTTCCTTATTGTGTTAAACCAGATAAGAAAGATATAATCTAACATCACAGCCAGTGTAAGCAAAGAGTGATGGAAATGGATGAACAGGGATCAAGGCCCTCCTATTTTGGCAGCTGCCTGCTGGCATGTTATCAGCCTTGGAACTGCAGCCAGAGAAAATGGAACTATCTTCCTGCTTAAGCTGATACCTAACTTGAGTCACCATGGGGTCAGACAAATGTTAGTAGCATTGCAGAGCAGGGAGTGTTTGTGGGGTGGAGATGAGATAAAAGTACAAGACAAATAGTCTATTCTGATGTTGAATAACTCATCTGGTTTCATTCCTTAATCTAAACAAGAAATCACTCTTAGATGCTTGGACTTACAAAAAAAAAATTCAGAAATTAACAGGACAACAAACCATGAAGAGTTACTTAGGCTATCATTATCCAGGAGAAAAAAATATATAGAAAAAGAAAATTCTAGCTTAAAGACATTGATAAGATGAAGATCAGAGTCAGAAATTAAACAAAAAATTACCATCTATTCATGGTATTTATTCATCAGTCATGGACTGACAAGTTATTAGCAAGTTACAGGGAAACATTTGGTAGGGAGAAGAATGAAAGCATCATCCATAATGTGAGTTCTGAGACCTTAAAGGAAACACAGGCACTCACTGTCCGAAGCTGTAAGGCCTTCTCATACTTGTAAGAGAAAACGCGCTTAGGGTAAAAACACCAATTATGAAGCAAGAACACTGCAGCCTTTCCACAGCTGTCTCTACTGGATGGAATTGCTCTTGCTCACCAGCTCACACAGAAGAGCACCATTTCCAGGCCTTTACGAGTCAGAACACCACCTCTGCTCAGCCCATGCATCCAGCTTCGCTCCTCTTGTGACTTACCAAGACACTCTAGGCTGTCTTTACCAACAGTGCCACGGGCAGCACAGACAACCCAGCACGCTGTCCTGGAGGACAGGAGCTCCCAACTGTGGCAGCTCTGCAAGGCATCTGCTCACACCAATAAAAAATTTCCATGAAATGAACTCCAATACAGAGAGTATTCCTAGAAATAATTTTTTAAAGATTCAACATGAAGCTCTGAGATTTGTTACAGCTGGGTTTACAGGTCAGAAAGCTTTGTTTTCCTCTCAGAAAGCTAATATTAGCACTTCCTGGTTTAGAGGAGGTATGGGGACTCATTTCTCCAGAGGAAACAGTTCACATTATCAGGGAATCATTTCATGACTCTGCCGTAACCTAGACAGTCATCTCCACTGTTCCATTTTAAAGAGCTGGCACATTACATATATTTCCACTGGCACCCAGGAGCCTACAGCACATATTCACTGATACGAAAAAGGTTTTATTAAGATGAAAAAAGCTCAGGTAAATTGAGCTATAAAAATACTTGGACAACATAATAATTACAGTGCTGAAAAGAGTGAATGAGTGAAACAGGTTTTGTTTTGTCCTGTTTTTATCTGCCGCCTGCATCACAACCATAATAATTTCCTGTCCTAAGAAACTCACTTATACTATATGAGCCTGACTGACAACACCTGGAAGGCTTTTTCTTTTTTTTCCCCCCAGGAGTTTTTGTCAGGTAAGCAGCAATCTTCTATACTAACTGCAGTGGCTAAGGTGGAATTACTATGCACATTCAAAGCACTGACAAAGTATTAGTATCTTCTAATTTTTGGCAGATATGTAAAGGACAACAGCGAGGACCAAAGCATTGAGATAGTATCGAGACAACAGGTAAAATGTCAGAACAGACAGATGCAGTCTCACTGGTTATTTGCTAAAACTAAATACCAACTTGTAAAAAAATGGTATCTGAATTAGAAGGAAGATTGAGCAACAGGAGTGAAAAAAAACCACATTTCTACTTGGCAGTTTATGTTCAAAAAAGAAACAAAAATAGAAACTATGGCATGAAATGCAAAATAAGGGAAGGCTCTGTTTTGCCTCTGGACACTTTAATGCAACCAAAAAAAAAAAAAAAACCAGCTTTATAAGCCCTCAGGAGATTGTACACAGAGCTTGCTCTAGAATAAAAATGGAAAACTGCTAGCAAAACTCAGTATTTCAGGCTCTCTGTCACCACCAGCACACACTTGCTATAATAATAACTTCCCACTTACATAGCATTTTTTACTATCAAATCACCTGATAACCTCTAAATTAGTAATTTTTTTTCTCTTTCTTCCAACTTAAGAGGCAGAAGTGTCCAGAATGTCCCTGCAAGTCTAGAACTACAAAAATAAAGCATCATATGCCACGCATACGGGTCACACCTTGTAAAAGCAACAAAATCCCTGCAGCTCCTCTCAGTGAAGGTCAATAGCTGCAATATTCATGGGAAAAAGAAATCCCTTGCTCCTTTTTTACAAGTATATGTTTCTCTTGCTACCTGCCCAATTCATCTTCTGCCTCATTAAATGGTACAGCCCCTTTAACCACAGAATGAAGGTCTTGTACTTTGTAAAGTTTCTCCCATAATCTCAGCTCCAAAATGTAGGACTCATCTCCAAAGACTGTAAACTTTGCAATGTGCGGGGTAAACAACAGCATTAATATTGCTGTAAGTGGATTTTCAAAGCAATACAGTGACTGGTTTTCCTTCCCTTGGTGTCAATCTCTCAAGTTTTCAGTCAACTGCATTCTTTGACCTCTGCCAGTCTACGTTTCAGCTCTCACTATGAGTGCATCAGTAACATAGTGGTCTAGCACCTTTCAAAAGCATAAAAATTTCAATGATAGCGTTGCTGAAAGAGGTGGAATACTGATGGCATAAGAGGTTGTAAAGAAGAGGGAAAGAAGAAGAAATAAATAAAGAAGTAATAATAAGAGCAAAGATGAAATGCTGGAAATACGATGACTTAAAAAGACATGAAAGAACTTCAAATGCAATAAAAAGGTGAGGAAGGGGCAAAGACAGAGTAAGTTTTCAAATCATCATTTAATGTTGTTTTGGCATTAAGGAAAACTTTGACTTCTCTGGTACTTTGAATAGGGAAAGGCACATAATTATTTGTAGATCATCTTTTGTTTTGCACTCCATTTCTCTTCCCAAATGGAGGGGTGTGGGGAGGGAAGCTCCCAACATGGCACCATCCATTTTAAGCTGCAACTCAGTCCTAATGGGAAGCCTTTCTTACTTACAAAGTCTTACTTACTTACTTACAATGTTTTATTTATTGGTGCATTCATATAAGAAAAGATGTTACATGTCAAAAATAATGGCTGCTTCTCCCATTTTCACCTTGGAAAATCACAAGGAATTTGAGCAGGACTGATATTAAAGTTGGATTTTTCTCCATGCCAGAAAAATATACAACAGCAAGTTGAAACCCAAAATTAATTTGGGGTGTTTTTTCCAATGTGTCTAGAACTGGACTATTAGTTTCCTGTGGACTCATTATCATAATGCAATCATGCAACTAACCAGCAAGTCTTCATACAAGTACATTTCCAAACTCACTCTAGTCAACATGCTAAACAGAATCCTTAACTGAAGTTGCTCAAAACAGGGAGAAGTGTCCACCAGGCAGGGAAAAGACTCTCAGAAATGAAATTATACCCCACACTGCTACTCAATATTTTTGTGAAAAACTTTGAATGTAATGTTGCTAACTGATAAGAAGAAATCTTGTATTGTGAAAATAAAACTGTTAAAATCCCACCTTGAATAAATCTTATCCATGTAAAAGAAAAAATGCAGCAAACATTGGTTGAACAAATAGTTTTCTGTTGCATAGCTCCACATTAATAAACCAAGAATTATGTAAAAAAGGACAATCTTTTACCCTTCTATTTAAAACAAACAAAGCAGAAAGGACAACAAACACCTACCTTTTCTTCTTGATAGATGATGACAAAATGTTGTCCTGAATTGCCTTACATTTTGAAGCCTGTTCAAACTGGTAAATTCCATTTTTATTAAGAGTTGTTCTGTTAAAAGGGAGTGGGAGGAGAAAAAACAATAAACTTTAAATGAGAGAACATATTCTACTAATGTCACATTTACTTTGCTATGACAATAAGATTAATAACCGTTGATTTAGCTGAAAACATTACCTAACAAATCTTATGGACTTCTGTTGTGAAGCTCCTGTTAGTAAAAGAGTTTGCTGCTAGGGACAATAAAATATTTGATTCTTTAAAATAACCCTATTTCATTGTCTGAATTATATTTTCCACTGTATACTATAATCAGCAAATGTAATTTTAAAAAAATAAATTAAATGGTAAGCCTCTTGAGCATTAAGTTTTGAAGACATTTAAAATATTCATTAGTAAAATATTTAGCAGATGTGATTTCCTAAAACTGTTGATGAAATGCAATATTCAGAGTGAATATAATATATACAGGAGACACCACAGGTGAAGTGGATCTTTGATTTTACCTTACTGACTCAGGCATAATACTTCCTGCCTTGTTTATTCTTTATTTACACAGAAAGAACAAATATATGTAAAAGGAACCAAGGCAAGTGTCAGATAGTGATCTTTAATTCCTGTCTTATTTTCACCAGACTCCCATGTGGTCCTCTTGCTCTGGGCAGCCCTTGTAGAAGACTGAGATGTAAATTAGTAAACGAGTGAGATACCCAGGTCTTATTCTGTTCACCTCAGTTCATCCTGTATCTAGGTCCTATCTCATACTATCACCCTCTCCTAACATCAGCCTTCCACTCTGTGGACTGCCGTTTATCATAAATATTTTCCCTCTTGCATTATTTTCCCTGCCCTGCACCATGTTCCTTCCTGCTAACTCCCCCTCCTTTTTGCTTCTTTCCACTGATCCACTACTTACAGAGCCCTTGGACATTGCACCCTATTTGCCCACACCAGAAGTAGAAACATGGAAGACAGAGATGCTGTTCTCAGAGAACAACTGAAACATTTCTGTGCAGAGGCACTCACAAAGCAAAGGGGCCTTCCTCCTTTGCACACAATGCACCGTGCTTCTGAGCAATTACTGCTTTTCCTGACAAGGACCAAAACTCCATTGCCTTCACCTGCTATAACATGGAGACCCCTTAGCAACAACATTCCTGACAAGCTGATTTCAAAGACCTTGCTTGGCAAAGATGTGCCACTTCAAGCCACAGAACCACAAGAATAGCTGAGGTTGAAAAGCATCTCTAGAGGTCAACTAGTCCAAACTCCCTGCTTAGGCAGAGCCACCTAGAGAGGGTGAGCAAGGACTGTGTCCAGATGCTTTTGAATATCTCCAAGCATAGAGACTCCACAATCTACCTGAGCAACCTGTGCCAGTGCTCAGTCACCCTTACAGTGAAGAAGAAATGCCTGATGGTCAGAGGGAATATCCTGTGTTTAAGTTGGTGCCCACTGCCTCTGTTCTATCACTGAGAACCAGTAAGAAGAACCTGGCTCCATCCTCTTTGCCCCCTCCCTTCAGGTATCAATAAGGTCCCTCCTGAGCCTTCTCTTAAAGACTTCAAATGAGAATACTGGCTCAAGTAGAAAGAAGAATAAATGCTTGTTTATTTTATGACTGAACTGACTCATGTTCATAGCTGGCAGGAAAGGAAGGAACCACCTTTGTTTTTCTTTCATTGCCTTTAAATTTTCTAGAGATTCAGTCACCCCAGTAGCAATTCCACAGGATGTAGGCTGCAGAGGAGAGAGAACAGCTCTCTTCCTTTATTCCCACCACCAAGAAATTCTTCCCAATATAATCTCAGTGCCCCTGAGGAAGTATCCAGTCTGTATGCCTCTTGTTGAGGACAGCAGTAAGACAACACAACATAAACCCCTATCCTTTCAGTTCTGCAGTGACTTCAATAGATAGTAACAGCCAGCACTGCCTACTGAGAGCTTCTTGGCTGTCTTTGCTTTAAATACAGCTCTTTATGTCATTTTTTTTTCTCAAGGAGTGAAATAGAAATAGCAGAAGGCTCTCAGAGAACACAGTTCAGAGCTAAGAACTGCAGATCTCACATAGCAAGTGCTAGCAAATATTCTGCCTACAAAATTTATGTATACAGGTTTGTTGCAGCTTGGTCTGAATGGTTCTGTCTATGCAGAACAACCAGGTAGGCCCTTTCCAGTTCTCAAACAAATTTAGTTAGCACTACATCATTCTTCCTCTCTGTTGCTTCTCTAACTCAATAACCACAAATTATTATTCTACAGCTGCAGCTTGAAGTAAGAGAAATGGCTACAGGCAAGAATTTAGCTGGCTAAACAGCATCTTAAAGAAAAGAAAAAAACCCCAAAACTATTGATATAAGCCAAGTGCATGTACTTTCATTATAAATAAAACCTAAGAACTGGATGCTGATTTGAGAAGTGGCCCCAGCCCTTCTAAGCCACAGCTGGCCAGAAGAGACCCTGTCTAACATGTGAAGGCTGTCAGGATGGCCAATTCAGAGCAGATCCCTGCAAGGTGCATTAGCAGGCAGCAGCAGAGCACCAACATTCTTTCACAACTCTGTGCACACAGCCATTACAAGTCCTTACAGCTTCTTATTAATTTGTGTCCTGAGACCTGTGGGGCAATGAATAAATATTTTCTCAAATACAAGCTTTACTCCACAGACTTCTAGTCCTTTAAATTTAATAAGATCAATCCAAGCAAGTTGCCTCATTTTTTAACAGATAATTGTTTTTTATGCACTCATTTTCAAGACTTGAAAAATTCAAAAAAAGAGGAAGTCAGAGAAAAAAGAAAGAACAAAACAAGTCCCTATTCTGTTTTGTTGTTAAAGCCTCACGACCACTTTTACACCCACATGATAGATCACCAAAATGCTTCTTCTGTGGCTTTTTACACAAAATTTACTTAACATTCTTTATGTGGTGCAAAAGATACAAAATTCAAACAATTTATTTGCAAGAGATGTGAAACAATGACTCATTCCATTAAAAGTTAAGTTTCTGAATTTCTGTTTCACTGTCAGAGTGCCCTCTGCTTCACATGAATGAAATCTTTTTGCATTTAGATAAAAATGGGAGTGCAAGAAGCAGTCCAGACTTCTACTGCATTATTCATGGCAAAGTCGTGCAAGCATCAGACTCAGATTAAATTTCTGCTCATATCAGACAATTGTGCAAGGCAACACTTACCACTAAATTGATTTACCTGACCTAGTTGAGGACAGTCTTTGTTCAATACTTAGAGCTGCATTACAACTTCCACAATGAAATCAAATGACATGACTAACAACACAGATATCAGGCTACTTTCAACTAATTTTGTGAATTATTAAGCTAAATGAGAACTTGAAGTAGAAACATTCTGTTGGTTTGAACTCATAAAACTGATGATACAAGGAAATTTCAGTTGTATTTTCCTTAGGGCTTAGATGTTCTCGAAGCCAATCTCATTGGACCAAATCTGAAAAACAGGGTTTTTTTTAATCATATACGAACAGCTTGAGGACCACATACTTCCTATGGTAATTCTAGGAACTCAGGAAGTACACCATCTGTACGTTAATAAAGCCACAGTAGATTAAGATCATGTGCCGTATTTATCAGCACGTTTTTATTCTATATCTTGCTCTCAGGAAGACAGCAGATCCTCAAACTGTAAAATTGTTTAAGATAAGGATTGAATCCACCTTTAGAATAAGAAATGCAGGAACTATATGGAAAGTCCTTTTGCTGCTCCTGTAGCATTCAGTCCTGAGACAATAGGGAATTGTAGTGCTGGTAATCACCAGACAGAGAGGCATGTCAAATAACACAGCATTCTGAGGGAACAGAAAGGTACAAGGTACAGGCAGGAAAAGGAAAGGGACACCCTCTAAAAAATTCAACCCCAGTTATCATAGTTGGAAAATGAAATGGGCATGATATGGAGGAATGGTAGGTAAGAGAAAAAAAAAGCAGATGGAAAAACGAAAAGTGGTGCTGTGAGTTGTACTGGAACATGAAGATTGAAAGGCCACTCCTCTAGAAATCCCTCAAAATCAGGTGGAAACAAAGAATGTGGGATGAGGTATTCAAAATTTCTCAGAACTGAACTGTTTGGCATCAGTAAAGCAATAAAAATTCCACCTCCCTAGTAAGTCCACACTGAAAGTAAGGGAAAATACCACTCATTGGCTATTCACTCCACACCCAGCAGAACCAGTTGTTGCTCTTTTCTAAAGCTTCTTGCCCTTGTCTGTCTGAAGCAGCAGAAGAGATCTAAACATGTTCCTGCTGAGCATCTCCAGCTAAAAAGGATAACTTCTGTATGCAAAATTGCCCATTTTTAATCGTTCTACCAAATGACACTGAATAGCATTATCCAGATTGTGAATATCTTCCATCTTAATCTCTCCCTTGAAGGGACTAATTTATATTTGAAACTCATCATCTGTTAGTTGAATACTATTAAAAAAACCACAATCCATACTTCCCTAGGAAGGGCGCTCTTAAGTGCTGTCTTTGACACTATTTCAAATTAATTAAATTATAAGAATACGGTGATATTTTTAAAGTTCACAACACCTTGATTAATAAGGCAATACACAATTTAAATTCTTGGTGAAATGGACTATAAAAATGGCTTCATCAAACCACAGGAGTAAGAATTTATCTTGAAACATTAATCACAGTAACTGTTAAATGGACTGATCCTACTATCTTTGTTCAAATTCCTATACAGGTATTGCTTATCTAAGGAATGCTAAGAAATGCACAAACTGCACCTTTAAACTATTTGAAAGACCCTCTTGTGCATTCACCGGGGTTATGTATAACGTCAGATACTTTTTATTTATAAAATCCATAAATTGCATGACAGCTAACATGACAAGTAACATTCAGAGCCTCATGGTAGGGGAAGTGAAAATAATAAGGTACTTACACTAAAATCGTGTTACAAGGGCACACGATAGAATGACAGAGCAGTTTCATTTGGATCAAGTAAACAGAAAGAGTCTGGTAAATCTTTCACCACTGTCACAACACAAATGACACCTGGCAGCAGCTTTCAACTGACCACCTATTCATTTAGACAGAACTAATACATGAGGCATATGTTCAAAGTGTGCTCCTAAAATATGTCTGCACACATTACTTGGAAATGAAGGGGCAAAATAATAAGAGAGCAGTAAAATTAGTGAAGTGGGCCCCCACTGCTGACTAGTATAAACCATAGCAAAGTATCTGTACAATATACTAGTATATCAGTGCAATTTACTATATACTAATCCATAATTGTGGTGTTAGCCTGTCTCTTCTTCCACTTCTGAGTGCCTGAATGCAGTATTTTGACAGGACACAGAATGTACAGGTCTCTGTAGCTTTGTTAATTAAGTATAGCTGTTTATTTCCTAGGCCTGCATACAGACCTGCTGCTGAGAGAGGAATTGGAGAAATCAACACTATGGAACACTCTATTAATACTAACTTGTTTACTCATAGTTCCTCAATCACGTCCTCCCACTGTTCAATTACTTCAGCGGTCTTTACACTGTGCTTGCCTTGGACCCACAAAGACAGACAGCAAGATAGGGAAATAGTAAGTGAATGCCTTAGAACTGGCAACACAGTAACAGTGGTCAGTTCTTTAGGGTACTGCTGCCCTGTTACTTTTATATAAGTATACATAAATAGTGCTATTTTCACTTCCCTTGCAGGAGCTGACATTATTTATATGCTACATATTCCAGGGTAGTATAATAAGAGCTAGAATTTCTGCCTAAATTTAACCTAGCACACCCTGGGCCTCATAACAAAGAAAATACTACCTAGCTTCTCTTACTATTTTCATTTTCCCCTGATAAGCACTAGCAATACTGAGCCTTCTGTTCCACTATTAATGCAACCACTACACAAACAACTAAGCCTGCACAAACACAGCTGGGGAGAGAGAAAAGGAGAGAGAGAAGACCAAGGGTCTAAAGGTGGGAAAAATGCAAGTCTTCTTTTTTTGGTTGTACTGCTGGCTTAAGAAAATATAAATTGTTCTTGCAGTTACAGCTTGAAAGTTAAGAGGACAGTATAAGGCATAGATAGGAGAATTTGCAGTATAAATTTTATTGGTTCCATGAATAAATCTGGGGACTACTAGACATATCTTACTAACAGTGGCCACTTTTTTCAGTAAGAAACCCTACTAAGAGCCACAGTAGGCTGTGAAATACGCCCAAGACTAAACATTTAAGTTGCACTGTAGAGACAGTCACATTGCTCCAATTACCTAATGCTTAACAAGAAAAAGGGGTTAAGCAATGTTCTGTAAGACAAACCACATCATCAAGTTTGTTTACTAAGACACAGATCTTGAGAGAACTTTAGATGCCTAGTCACCATGTATTTAAACATTGCTGCACATAATAGCTGCCTAAATATCTAAGAGACTGATCCAATCCCCTGCTTTTCATCCTTTCATCCTTCAGTTCCATCCTTTTAAAAGAATTACTCGAAGTAAAAGAACAGATTAGCTTTAAACATTGCAAGGCAACAGAATAATAGGGCCTTAGAGATTCTTTGGGAGATGTCTGGTTACAAATATGCCACCAACAGCAAAGGAAATAATGATAAGAAAAAAGATTAGCTTGTGACTGTGAAGATTGTCTAGATTACTTATACTTAGAGGTCAAGGATAGTGCCTAGGTTTTTTTTCTTTTTTCCTCTCCTGGAAACATCCATGCACATCCTTTTACTCTTATGCAGGAAATGACATTGCTGTCAATAACACAGCAATGCCATTCAAATGATCAGGGTTTTTTAGGAGAATCATGCTTCCCCATTGCACACTGGAATCTTAATTCCTGTTGACCAGACCATCCATCTCCATCACCAAGGGATTGGTCTGAACCTCCTGAAGGAGTCCAGATGGTCTCTGGATCAAACCTCTCCAGCATGGCCCTTAGCCAGGCCCAGTCCAGCTGCTGCCTGGATCAAACCCCTCCAGCATGGCTCCCTGCCCAGTCTTACTGCTCTCTGCATGAAGTAACAGCTTCAGTCAGTCAGTCCAGTCCAGCAGCTCTCTCTCCTTTCTCACAGGCCAAACATGCACCACAAACTCCTGTCAGGCCAGCTTACTGAGCATGGTCACTCAGGTGAGAAAGCACATCCACTCTTGGATTCAGCTGGCAAAACATCTCTCCGAAGACACTACGGTTACAGGAGCTTGAGTAAACTGAAACTTTCTTTGATGAATTATTTACTTGACACACTTTTGCATTCACTTAGTCATGAAGAAATACAATTTCAGGCTGACCAAAACTAGCTTCAAATTGGTGCAAACATGCTCCAAGCAGAACAAGGAAAAATACATATTTAAAATCTCAATCTCACTTGCCCTATTAGAAAGGTTGAAAACATGACATGGATTTTCATACCTCTTTGGTATGTGTTGTTTCTACTTTCTTTGCTCCAGTTGTGAGTGTACTAACAGCAGATGGGAAATAGCTAGACTGTTCTCTGAAGTGCTCTTTGCCAGCATTTCTAGTCAATTCGACTCCATGGTATAGCACAAAGGGCTGAGTGAAAGGAGATGCAGCTCAGAAACTAGCAGGGAAGAGCATGAGGAGACGGGCCGGGGGAAACCACAGACATAACCCAAAACAGAGTGGCAAGAAGAACAGAGTAATGGCTACAAAAAAAAAAACCAACAATGCAGAAGAGTACATACTGCAAAATCATTACTAAGAGAGGGAGAGAAGGGAAAAAAGGCAGAAAGGGAAAAGATGAGAATAGAAAAGAGCAGGCTAGAAGCTCATAACACCAGGTAGAAACTTGTGCAGAATTTCTTTGAGTCTAATTTTGAAAGATGCTATAAACTTACAGCTCGTGAAAGTTCTAAATCTTGAGGGAGGGAGCACAAGGGTCTCTCACCAGAAACACATAAGATATGCACTGTTAGGGTACACTTGCAATTGTTACTATAACTAACATCACTTTCATTCACTTAGGGAAAGCATAGGCTGTCAAATTCAACTACATTGGGTGAGATGGTGGCCTCAGTAAGGTTAACTGCACTGTCACCATTGTCTCCAACACAAGGACATCACAGTTTCTGTGAAAGATCCAATTCTTAAGTTCTTTCTAATTTTTATAGTGTGTTTTTGACCATAATTTATATTACCATATAATAGTCATGGTAATTGCAAAGTTAATAAGACCATATAAAGTAAAAGAGGAAAGCAAAAATACTTCAAAACTACTTCTTACATAGTATTTATCTCATGAGTGGATTACACCACTGTCTTCTGCACTCTTAGTTTTCCTACAGTGTGTGGGGAGCCTGAAAACAATAGTCATCAGTACTGAAGTCTGCATGTATAGCACAACATGTTTCACAGCTGATTTTATGAAGTATGTAAATATTAAACTTCACAGTATAAAATAACAGACTGTAAAGAAAAGATCTACACTGATCTAAAAGGTCAAGACACAGGATCAAGTGAATGGGCTCCCACAAAGTACAATGCCAAACCAAAATGAAATAGGCTTCATATGTCTTGCCTTCATCCTGTGAATTTTAAATTATGAATCTGTATTTTTAACCAAAAACAGATTACAAAAACGGTAGCAGTATAACCCAGCTCCACCTTCCTGGAAAGGAGAATAAAAGGTGCTTGGAACACACCATTCAGCAGGCACTTTTTCCATCGTATGCTAACAAAACTGGTCTACGCAATATTTTATTGGGCTCAAAACCAAGGGCAGAGTGACAGACATCAATAAGATGGCCCATGAGCAAATAATTCATTATAGTTAAAGCAAAGTGTCATTTGCTCTAATGATCTCTAACGCTCTCTCTGATCAAGCTGCCGAAACAAAAGGAAGAATGAACCGAAGCGAAGGCGAATTTCTGCTTTTGTAGACCCGACCTCACGGACCCACCTGCGAGCGGCCAGCCCGTACCTGTTCTCGGTGTGAGGAAGGGGCGTCAGGGGAGACCTGAGGGCTCGCACCACTTTCGGCGTGACAGCCGCTACTCCTGCCTCCTCCTCCCAGCCCCTGGCAAACGAGACGGTAAAACAAAGTTGTCAGGACCGGTGATAGAACATCACCCGGCGAGAGCGGCGCCGCTCTCCTGTCCGCGACCCGCTCGGAGCCGCCAGCACCCGCGCCGAGCCCAGAGCGAGCCGGGGGAGCCGCGCCAGGCTGCGCCGCTCCCCGCGGGGCTCGTCCCACTCCTCCCGCCCTCCCCAGCCGGCTCCGGACCGCGGGCGAGGCCGCCCTACCTGGCGCGGAGGGGCTGCTGGCCGCCCAGGCGCAGGAGACAGCCTCCGAGCAGCAGGCTGCCCAGCGCCGCGGCCAAGGCGATGACAGCCCGCATGGTGCGCTCAGCGGCGGCGCCCGTCGCAGCTACGGCCGCCCCATAGTATTTAAGGGAGGCTGCGGGGAGGGGGAGGCGGCCATGGCAGCCACAGGGTCTCTGCGCTCCGCCCCTCGCCCGCAGCCCTGCGCCGCCGCCATCGGCCCCCCCCGCCTCACGACCGCCGCGGCCGCCGCGCGGGCCCGGCCCGGCCCGGCCCGGCCCGCCGCTGCTGGGGGGGGGGGCGGCGGGCTCGGCCGGCGTGAGGGCGGCACCCGGGCGGCCTGTGCTGTGCTGGCGGCCTGTGCTGGCGGCCGCCTGGGGAGCTGCCCGGGGCGCCGCCCGGTGTCGAGGGCCGCGGAGCGAGGGAGTCGAAACTGCCCAAACTTTAATAGGGGAGAGGGGCGCCGTGCGGGACGGCGGCGGGAGCGGGGTGCGGGGCATGCCCGGTGAGGACAGGCAGCTCTGCCCCGTGGCTGGTGTAGTGAAGTCGCTGCTACTTTAGTGGCTCTTTATCTGAATTAAAAAATAATAGTCAACTTGCCCTGTGTTTTCTCTTATAAAAAGGTATGTTATGAAAATATATATATTATGGATAGAAGTGACCCCACGTGGAATACCTGTGTGCAGCTCTGGGCACCCCCAACATAAGAAGGATGTGGACCTGCTCAGAGGAGGGCGATGAACATGATCTGAGTGATGGAACACCTCTGCTGTGGAGACAGGCTGAGAAGGGGTGGTTTAGCCTGGAGAAGGCTCTGGGGGGACCTCATTACAGCCTTCTGGTACCTGAAGGAGGCCTACAAGAAAGCTGAAGAGGGACTTTTTAATAAGGGCATGGAGTGATAGAAAAAGCAGGATGGCTTTAAACTGGAAGAAGGCAGGTATGGATGGAATATTAGGAAGATATCTTTACAGTGAGCATGCTGAGGCACTGGAACAGATTTCCCAGAGAAGCTGTGGATGCCCCATCCCTGGAAGTGTTCAAGCAAGCTTGGATCAGTCTGACCTAGAAGAAGGTGTCCCTGCTTATGGCAAGGGGCAGTTGGAACCAGATGATTTATAAGGTCACTTTGAACCCCAAATGTTCTATGACTCTGTGATTTGCAGTGGTTTTGGTAAAGAAGTGTTTCTGTAGTAAGCTTGGATCTTTTTACCTAATGGTGCATTCAGTGTTATGAGGAATAAAACAGAGTACAATAGAACTGATAAAGGAGCCTAATATCTTAGGCCTGATCGAGCAGAAACCATGGGAGAGACAGACACAGATAAGTGCTCCCTGAGCAATAAGTGGCCAAGAAAACATGATGTGAAATTTTGTGATAAGATAATGTTACCAGATGAAGTGATGATATGAAGAACGTGTAAACAATGTTACCAAAAATAGAACTCCCTCTAAGTGCCATACAAGTAAAACCCTGTATAAATGCTTTGTATACCAAATAAAATTGGCTTCTGATCTTGAATTGGATGTCCCTGTCTCTCAATTGCCAATACGGTGTTGCTTTTACAAGCCAGCCATTGGTATGAGAAACCTAGTAAAGGTGACAAGGTAGCAATAACTAGGCCCCCTTTTTTAAAAGAGTGGGTAGAAGAGATGCTGTAACTTACAGCAACCTTTCAATCATGAAAGGTCTGACACCTTGTTTTTGCAGATTCTTCCCCATCCTTCATGTTTTCTGTATCTGTGAGCATTTCCTTAAGCCTTGATTGTTGCTGCTCATCAAACAATGGCTAGAAAGTCTCAGTGTTGCTCTGCTGCAGCTATATTAATGAAGTAACACTGACTTGATATTGTGAGTGGTTAGATATGACAATAAGAGGCAGCATGCCTATAGTACCCCAGAGGAACAGCACAACACCATCTGTGATCGTGATGGGCTATGCAGGGAAACATCTAATGATGTTTTTGGGGCATTCATTAGCTTGCTGGTGAGCAGGACTGTGGGTGCTGGTGAGAGGGAGTTAGAAGCAGTTGGCTGGTTCCTCAAGGGGTTGCAGGTGTTTCACTAGCTCGCTGCACAGTCCTCCTGGGAATGCAGTTCAGTTGTCTTCTTGGCTTTGCGATACATAGTTGTAATAGTGAAACAAAGCCTGTGTGAAGACTTCTGAAGTCCTGAAGAAGTTTGCTGGTTTGAGATTGTAATGAATTATAAACATCTTGAACATGAAGGTGATTCATGTTCATCACCATTTCCCAAAAGCTTGCTTTGGGCTTATCCTATAAAACCAGTTGACACTGTATAAGAACAAGTAGGAGTCTAACAGTCAAGCTTTTCAAGGTATGTGTATGTTCACTGATCAGATACTAAAAAATATCAATCCCCCATCACCTCTGTAAAACATGAAGGCTGCTGCTTATGTTAGTGGATATCATCAGCTATTTCATAATACCCATTAAATACCCTATGTAAAACAATACGTCTTTCATCTTAAAAGCCTACTGGTATTCAATTTCAGCTCTGAATGAAAGAAGACTAAGAATTACAGTCCAGAAAAAGATTTGGTTTTTGCCCTCACTGTCATTTCCCTCTGCAATACAGTTTCCCCATGAGTCCTGAGGTATCACTGTCAGCTAATCCATGGGAAATTTAGTGATGCCAGTTAGGACATCATATTTCAAGTTAGAGGTCTGCTGCCAACGGTAGTCTATAATACCAGTAAAGATTTTTTTTTTTTTTTCCCCAAGATCAGAAGGTTAATTTTTGTGTCATATTAAAGTTCTTGCAAAAAAGATGGGAAGATTATAAACAACATGTGTTTAAACTAGACTTGGCACTTGGTGCTTGTTGTTTACTAACAAGTTTACAAACGTATTGATTGATTGTCACAGTATCATTAACTGTTACCAACCTTAATTTCCTGCCACAGCGGCTTAGTAGAAAGGTTAAGTGACCCTACTGAAGCATGAGATGAGAATCAATGGTGAATCAGAATTCAAATTTAGGAATGCTGAATTCAAAAGACCAAGTTTCTCTTACATGGTGTTGCCATGTCAGAAGTGTTGTAATGTAATGAAGATGGTCAAAATGATAAAGGCACAGGTGCCAAAGATGCCACACAGGAAAAGACAGAGACTTAACAGCCTACGTAGAGTCTCTGTTCCATCTCGTCATCTTCCTCACAGCTGGAAGCTGCTGCATCTTGGCAGCATCCCCCATCCTCTGATTCCCATTAGCTTCTGAAGTCAGCAGGAATTGATAATTGCTGGCTTGCACAGGAGGAAGAGATCACTAATCAGCCAGGTGGTATCATCATGACTTTGTTACTGAGCTCCTACAGCCCTACTTAGCTGCTAATTTGGAAAAGCAAAATGCAGCCTTGGTTTTCATCCATGAAAAGCTACTGTCCCCCAGGTCAGCAGGATTGCATCTCGAAAGGAGTCTGGTGGAGGTGCCTGTAGGGCTGCTGGTCACATGGAGCCAGCTTAGCCTTCTTATTTCCAGCAGCTAAATCATATTAAGAAGCAATTAATGTTCATTAAATGCTTTCCTAGTGCTGCCTTCTCATCTATGCAATGGCTGTCATAGGGATATTAGTTATAGCAAATAGGAGGAGAAATGACTGTCACGATTAAGAAGAAGAGAAAGGTACTAAAGATGTTCAGTGAAACTGGAGTCCCATGTTCTGGGGAAGCATGAGAGGCCCCAGACTGAGGTGTTGGTATGAGACAGCTATTTTGGTGTTTTTAGTGCACTCACAATATGAGTGCTTTTAGCAAAAAAACTTCCAACAAATTCACAAAACTGAAACATATGTGTTTCAAACTGGGAGAAAATCATTGGTTCATTGCATTTCACAACTTCATTTATTTCCACCCACGGTTTTGGGCAATGTGGTTTTACATAATGATAAACTGCAAGAACTAAGGTGCCGTCTGCCAGACTCCAGGACATCAAATGGCCCCAATCATTCCACTAAAGGAAAATCACAAAAAGTAATGCATTCCTGTACCCCATTAAAATTAAAAAAAAAGTTCAAACCAAATAATCACCTTGTGTGGCTGTTGCTGCTACGCTTTTTATCTTGCCTTAATGTTTTCTCTCTATTTTTTTGGGACAGAATTTTGTGTCCTGCAACTTAAAAATTAGGCTTTATTAAAATAATAATTTAATAACTAAATTCAGCCAGTAAACAGTCTGTTGAGATCTACATAAACCTAGCTAAATTATCAGGTGTTTAAAAGCGGTCACATGTACCATCACTTTGAGGTGTTCATCAAGTGTGCCAGTGATGACTCATCCAGTCAAGCACCATGAACTCCTTGGAGAAGGTCAAGGTGAAAAAAAATCAGGGCACATGGAGAAGTCTTCAGGACTCTGAGTGTCTCATAAGATGTCATACTTACAGAATCACAGAACATTCTGAGTTGGAAGGGACAGACAAGGATCATCAAGTCCAACTCTTAAGTGAATGGTCTGTATGGGGACTGAACACATGACCTGGTGTTATTAGCTCCCTGTTGTAATCAACAGCAGGACTTGCTTCTTATGCACAAAATAAATGCTTTTTTTGCTGTTGTAAGCTATGTTTTTATATCCATCAGAGTAAGATATTGTGTGCACTTCACCAGATTCCTTTATTTAGTTTAACTGAGAAACCAGCTTCTCCTCTTTAGCAACGATGATGCAGCCCAGTGGCAGATAAATACTCATTGCCAAAAAAAGTCTTGTAGCATAAGCAAACTTGAGGCCAGTAACTACTGAAAATGCGTGCTCTACTGCCAGCCACTGTGTGAGCCTTCATCCAATTAAGGGCACTGCAGGTTATGTGCCCATGACTGTCGTTCAGTCCAGCATGCATGCTTTTCCAAAGGAAGCTGTTGGGCCAAGGGGATCTGAATTACAATTAGGTACAAAGGAGGAATTTAATTCAGAAACTGAAAAATTTGAAAGTTGTTAACCTGAAGGGAGATAATTTTTTTCCCCATTCTCTTTTCTTCCTAAAGGCTCTCAGCACGACATCTTAACGTGACACTATGCAAAAGGCTGTACTGGGTCAGACTAGAACAGCGTGTTCTTCAGGCAGTGCCCAGTAGCAC